AACATCTATCCAGTAAGGTAACTGACTCTGAACTTTGACTTCTTACCCTAATTTGTGTTCAAGTGGAGCTCCTCGTACGTATTCAGCATTTTCTTCTTCTCTTTGCCCTTTTCTATCACTCAGCTCCTCTCTTCCATTAATTAAGCCACTAGATCCTCACATCACTATAACTTCAAGCATAAAAATGAGAGGAGAGCTGAAGCCTTAAATCTATGCTGAATCGGCAAACATGGACTGACACATTTCTTCTATTCTCCAATACATTGTTCTTCACTCGGAAGACGCTTTCTTCTACTACATCCCTTTTGACTTTTAAATTGTTTTCCCTTCTACTCTCATCATTAACATTCACATTTTTGGTTTTTAAGACTGTATGAAGCACACCACTTGGAAACAAAAAGAAAGACTGGTCTTTTTTGTTTCATCTCCTAAAACCAGTTTTCTAGAACTGACACGCAGAAATATATTTTAAATCAGTCTACATTAAAATATAATTGCCCAGAGTAAAATCTAACTATGTCAGTCAATAAAGCAAATTCTAAGAGATGAACTCAGATGTTTCAGGTACAATGTGAGTGATAAGGCTGACGCTTTTTCAGAAGACAGAAAAGAGTATACCTTATCTATTTGTGCAGTCTGGCAATAAAATTACAGAACAAGATACTGAACACATGCACTCAGATTCATCAGATCCCAGAGCTTATTTTGTAATTCTAATAAGGTAAATTCAAGACTCATAACAAAGTTAATTTGTCTTTTGCAGCCTAAAGTTTATTAGTGGTATTATATATATGCTTAATAACATGTTTGTTATTATTTTTATTATTATATTGTTATTATTTTGTTATAAGAGTACAAAAAGAGCCAGGAGAAGACAGCCTATAATGAAAATGAAAGGAAACAATTGGTACAACAATTCCAAAGACTAAGACTGATAAGAACTTCATAAAGATTTTGTACAATAATTAAATTTGACAAATAGCTTAGAGCTGCCTGAATATCTTTAGAGGCAGACCAAACAGTTTTTTTGATTAATTTAATTTATTCCTGTGTAGCTTTCACACTATTTGGCATGTTATATACTTCCTCACTCCCTCCCACAGTCCTCAGCTCCTGATCCCCTCAGTGACATTAAAACACCACTATTCTAAACACATAATTATAATAGCATGGGAGGAAAACTGTGTTCTACAAGTCAGGGATAAGTGAAATAAAACAGTGAAGAATATAAACCAGCAAGACTTTTTTGTTGAGTTTTCTTGTACAAAGTAGTAAGAAAAACATGTTTGATTATGAAATGCTGAAGTCCTCTGCTATTAAGACAGACAAACATCCAAACTTGGCAAGTGGTTCTATACACCAAGTTTTTAAAGTTTAAGTGAGTTCCAACAGGCTTGGAGAACTGAAAAACACTGGGTCAAGCTTTTTCATAATGAAAGGACATTAGACATTTCACCCAATGACAACTGAAGCTACAGGCTTTTTTTAGTTAAAAAAAGTTTCCATCCATCATACAGGCAGGACAAAACTTGCCAGAAGTCCACAGGCATCTCTCATTATTACAAACAAGACAGAATTGGAATGTAGCAGCATATTTCTGAATCAGACTTTACAGTGAGGCAAACACTTCTTTAATTTACCTTATAAATATGCTTTTGATTCTTTTTTTGAAACATAAGAAACCAAGGAGATACATCAAGTAGTGCTGTATCACATTCCCACAAGACTGGAAATAGTATGCTTCCTTCTGAAATGACATGACGGCAAACTGTGCTGTCTGATGTTCTGCACAACTAGTGGAATTTTTCTTCAAAGAAGGAGCAACCCTACTTGCCATTTCCAGGTAAGTACACTTGCACTGCATTGCCTTGCAAAATGAAATACTTCTCATGCTTGAGTGCGTACAAATAACTGCATTTGGTGAAAAATAAACATGCATTTTCACGCCTGAGCAGCTTATGGATGAGGTCTGATGGAAGTGCTAAACAGAACGCAAGTCTAGAGGAAAGTTTAGTTTTGTAAAGAACCCTGAAGAAAAGGATGTACAACTACCTCTTTACTCAGTCCATCAAAACCATACTATTAAAGCTGCTCAAGTGTTTGTTGCAAAACAGCTGTATGAGAACAAATAAAAAAATAAAGGATAAATTATGTTTTATTGTTTAAATCTCAGTTGTACAATACCTAGATGAATGGCTCCCTGATCAGAACAATGAGAAAACAAGAAACTAAAATAACCTTGATCCCCAGCTTCCCAAGGAGGTACAATTGAAATCAGTATATTGGAGTTGGAGTGCTCTGAACTCTGCTGTGGTCACATTTACTGAGCACTGTGGTAATAGTACACCTTAAAGTGGTAGTGGTTTCTTGCCCCTTTCTTAAGCAACCTCCCAAAAATGAGTACTCAGCCTGTCATTTCCATAAGTTGATAGGAAAAAAGACCCCTGAAAACTTGGCACAGAAATTTTGTGGCAAAATGCACATTGCTTTAGGTTAAAACAAAAAATTACCTGGCAAGGAAAAAAAGAGAAAGCGTAGCGTTAAGAATTAGAAACAACAAACACAAAGCAAGATGAATGGAAGCTAAATATTAGAATTTGAGACTAACAGATTAGTAAACACACCTAGATGTTAATTCCAAGAAGTTTGTTTTCTTTGTTTTGTTTATAAGAAGCCCCGATTATCACATATTCTGAGTTTAGGTCCCACATGCAGGTGTTAACTTGCACAAGACAGTTCAAAAAAATATTTGAAGTGCACTTCATCTTCATTGATCTCAGAATAAGCACTGTGAAAATAATTACAGCAGCAAATGCAACTATGCTTGCATAGTATAAATTTTCTGCAACTCAACCAGACATTTGACCCACTTTCATGGAAGTGGAAGTTTCAAAATATAGTTAACTCCAAGCCAGCAAAATAACACACAAGCCAGCAAAAACCTACTTCAACTTTTATATGTGGCCATATACAAAAACTACCTTAACATTTCAACTTTCTGTAGAAAACGGTAATTATATTTTGACTGAACAAGGTCTCTGACCCAGTCTACAGGAATGCAAGTTCCATTTACTATAACTAATAAATAAGTATTGGATGCACTACACTGAAGAAGCAATTATTAAGAAGATAACTTAGCAGTCAAGTCACAGCAGCATCAAGACCATCAGGCTTAAAAACAGTAAATCTGTTTCTCTACTTCCTGTTGAACCCAAATTCATTAACACTTTAAGGTGGATTTTTGTTGCTCCCCCACAAACACTGGTACATCTTTATCAAAATTTATCTTTATTTCATTAAACATTGTCCTAATTTTACTGGTAGATCTGAGTTGAGTGACAAATCTTAGGAAACGTAAGCCTTCCCTCATTGCAGTGCTATTTGTAAAAAAAAAAAAAAAAATTCAGCAGAAAAAATCCCCAGTAATAAGTTCGGTATTTCTGAATAAGAGCTATAACATGGATGCATTTCCATCTCTTGAAGTTTTATACTTTTTTTTTTTTACAGCCATGCTCACTATACAGCTACCCTGCAATCATAGTCAAATGGTCTCAGATACTGTTTTCAGGATGTATTTTTTAAACACATATTTTTACATATTTAAATAACATTTATTTATAATGATAACTTAAAAGACATGTTTAAAACTATAATTTTAATATATATTTAAATGCTTGTTTTCCTGTTTTATGAATAAAACTGCTGGCAATTAAAAATCAGTATCCTCAAGGCTTAGAGTCAATCACACTTCACTGTGCATTACAGAGCACCCAATACGTTACACTATTTAACATCCAGAAAAAAATTGCCACTACTAACACACCTTTCATACAAAAAAAAGTTATTGCAATGTGCAGTATCTGTTTCAGTTTTTTAGTCAACTTTACCAATAATTTATCAGCTTTGAAGTAGATCTTCCATTAAAACTAAAACCAGAAGACAAAATTACACAGATGCTTATTTTACCAATATTCAGGATGTATATGTAATTTTTTTAAAATTTATTAAGATTCCCCTCCTCTAATCAGCATTTTAGTAGGACAGAATAAAACATTGAAGTGCTGCTCACTATTTCTTTTTATAAAAAGATCCTGCACTGCAAGTCAGCAAGGGACTGTTAAAGCTTAGAGATTTCCTTAAAATCTAAGTCTCAACAGATATCAAATAAATGGGGATAATTAATTAGTCTTCATTTTCCAACTGAAAAGCAAAATAAGAATAATACCAAGGCCAAATTCCATAAACTATACCATAGCACCCTCTGCTGGACACCCAAACACAAGAAGAACTGATAGTAAAATATGCGAAGGTTAAGGGAAAGAATTTAAAATTGCATACAGATGATCATGGAAGCAAAACTTTTTTCCAACATACAACAAACAAGATGGATTCTGATGTATCTCATCTATATAGCATACAGCAATGCAGTAGTAACTTTTCAGTTTCAACACAAGAAAAGTTACTTCTCTCCCATTTACAACTTCAGATCTGAACGTGACTATCTTTAACTTTTAGGCATGTTGCGTCCAAACTTAATACCCCTTTGAAGCAGCTTGCTTCTAACAATTTGATACTTCTTCATAAAAAATTTAGGATTTGGTAACCTGAATTCACAGGACCTGTTAAGTCTCATATTTTAAAAATGCTTGCTGTCCTGTTTTATGAATAAAATTGTTGAATTAAAAATCAGTATCCTCAATGATCAGAGACAAGGATGTAGAAGTATATACACTTGATTGTGCATTACAGAGCATCCAAGTCTTTACACTATTTCACATTCAGAAAGATTTGCCACTACTAACATGCCTTTTATGCAGATAAGCTTATTGCAATGTGCAATCACATTGTTATTTCAACTTTAACAATAACTTATGAGCTTCAACAGAGTTTTTCCATTAAAGCTCTAGAAAACTATGTCAAGTGAAGTCTGCTATGTGTTGCTTTGTAACTTTAGCATTTTTGATAATGGTACCTTGTTAGACAGCAAAGAAAATTCTTACCCTGTTAAAGCTGTGCTCATGAGAATCTTCCAGCTGGCCATTGCTAGTCACAGGAATTTCTGCAGCTGAATTTTTGGGAGACTCCTGAGCCATTGCACCTTTCTGTAGTATAAGAAGAAACAGGTTAGCATTTGTCTTGGATTTCCAATGAGTGATCTATTTGAAATATTTGATGTATATGAGATATGTGGGGTCAGACAAATATCTTCTATGTACACTTGAACCTTAGAGTAGTTTATGTATCTCAAACCATAAAAAAGATGAGCTTGGCTATAAAAACTCTGCACTAGCTAATGATAAGCAAGAAATATTAGAAGTGCAATAAGTTTAACCATGTGTTACAGAAAGAAAATTATTCCTAACTTTAAAATAGTTGAACTTGGTTCTATTATATCATAATATAGTGCCACCTTCTGACTAAACTGTTGTTACACAACTCTCATTCAGTCATCAGCAGTAAATCTAAAGTGAAATGCAGGAACAAGAACTTAAAAGCACCAATGCAATTCAAGAATCAAAGTTAGTTTCAAAATGCAGCTGCGTTATGAACAGTAGCAGCAGCTGTGAAACCACTGCTTTCAACAATGACCTGAGGTATAACCTAGAAGAGACATTCCCAGAAGAAACGCACACAAGGACCTGAAGAGGGAATGGTACCCTAACACTCTCCAAGACTAAGAAACTGAAAATCTCAGCCCTTTCAAAAAGCTGCCCCTACCTCTCCAAGACAGCTTCATTAGTCAACTAATGTGTAAACAGTAGAAAAAAAATCAACACACAACCAAAGCAGTGTTTGTTCAGTTACTTACACAAAAGTCATTTGAAGTCTCCAAACCAGCCCGTGCAAGACTGGCAAGACAGGGTACACCATCAATGTGTACTTGACAATAGGTGCTTTCTTCCCTTAGATCTCCTAAATCGTCCAACTGAACCAGCTCTTTTCAGCCAAAGGGTCAGGAAGAGACCTGGTCTGAGACTGGGCTGAAGCACCAGCAGCTTCTCCAACCACGCAGGAAGCTTCTACAGGATACCCATATAACACAAAGATTTTACTGATACTTACTCAGCACCACCTACACCATTCCTAATTGGCAGCATCTTCTGTCATACCCCATTGCTAATATTTCCACCACTTTCACCTATCACCACTTCATTTACATTAGTAAGCTGCATTTCCTTAGTAAGCTGAGGCCGCCAAATCTTTTTTCCTAACTAGTCACTGTCCAAGCTATGTTACTGTAACTTCTTCCAAAGACTGTAAATTACTGAGACTTCACCTCTGTTGGTCTTTTGAAGCAGAGCTCGCTACTCAAACTTTGTTATCTAGAAAATTTGATTCACATTTCTGAAAGCGTAATAAGCTTTTTCAATTAGCAGCACAAAACACTACCATCACCAAAAAAAAAAAAAAAAAAAAGCAAGGAGACTGAAGCCCACGAGTTCTGAGTAAATGCTGCCTTTTACCCATACAGAGAAGAGAAAGAGAAAGGCCAAAGACAAGCCACTCAAAGAACCATACATACGAACTACAATCTGTGGATGCACACCCACAAAGTACCATCTGAGGTGATACACTTTCCCCTTTTGAGGATCAACACTTTCTTTACAACTAACTTGGCGAAACTGAATTGAAAGCTACTCTTTCAAAAACAGTGCTTTATGAAACGCTGCCCTAAAATGAGAAGCCAAACATCTAGGCACAGCTTTTGAAAAAATTCTAAATATACAGAGAACAGACTTCAAATTATATAAGAAAAAGAAAAGAAAGACAGAAATCCAAGAAAAAGTGACTTCATAACACACTAATTTACCCCATCAGTCCCTCCCATTTAGGATCCAGCAAGTGCCTTCTTTCAGCACAGTGAAGGAATAGCTCACATGCAACACCATTAGATCACATGTTCTAGTTACCTGTCATTTAGGAAATCTGTCCCATAGCTCAAGCTTCTTAAGCTTGCTCTAAATCTCATGTCTGCTCAAGCTCCAGGACTGCTAGGAACTATACTTCTACTTGACATGGTAAAGCAAGGTATTTTTCAAAACGCTTGGCCTGTCACAGCCACCTGACCAATACTGAAACACTAACCCAGGCTAACATAGCTACTTTTGTTCTTCCTTCTGCAAATTGTCAGAAAACACAGGGTCAAGGGGAAGTCCTGTACCATCAGGGGATACACTTCATTTGGCAGGGATCACAAACAAAACTGCATCTCCAGATTCAATTGAAGGCAAAACAAATACTTGGCTTGGATGCCTTTCATCAAAAATCTCAAGTCATTCTGCTAATACTGTATGTTGATGTATGTTTACGCATTTATTCACAGATACACATGCTCACACACATGCATGTCTAATAAATAAGTATACATTAGAAAACAAAAATTCATCAGCTTCTCTGGACAACTTATGAAATCTAAAAAGGCCTAGAAGCAATTCACAGGTTGTTTATTTTAGGTGTTTCTACTTGAGGCAAACACAGAATCACAGAATGTTAGAGATTGGAAGGGACCTCGAAAGATCATCTAGTCCAATACCCCCACCGGAGCAGGAACACCGATGTATCAACATCAGAGACAGCAAAAATTACTTGCTAACTTTAGCTTCATGTTATGTCTGAACTGAAACACCATCTGCCATTGGTGAAAGGAGGACCTTTCACTACTCCCCTCTTCCTACGGTGAGTCACACACATGCCTGCGGCTCACCTGACTGCACAGCACACAGACCCAACTCACTGGCCTGACAATAGACCTTTTCACTGGGTTAATTTTCTGCAGTTTCAGTGAGTTGAATCAGTTTGCAACGAGGTCAGACAAGCACCAAAGGCATGAAGTGAGCAGCTGAAAAAGGGAAGTGGGATGAACTGCTAATTTGGCTCAGCCATAAGAAGAAATCACCACCTGCATTTTAGTCAGAAGTCTAAGCTAGCACTGCTGCCAAGAACAGCAAGTCCTTGCCTCCCCCCTCCCTTTTTTTTTTTTGCCCTTTACCCCTAGCTCTACCCCTGTCAGCTTCCCCTATTCCCCCACCTCTTCACCAGGCCAGAACAATGTATTTGTACAGCAAACGAGACTACAGAAACACCACAGGTTAAAAGAAGGTGACCTATGTCCAGAAAGGGGATGGGTAATTTTTCCACTCAAATAGGTTCTCCAAAACAGCTCATCACACAGCTCGGACACTTGTACCTACAAAACGGAGGGGGTAACAATGCAATAAACACTGCTCCAAATAAATGAAGGACTGCTCTCAGCCACAGCATCAGCTCACTTCAGCAGTGCAGCATCTCAAGACACTTTAACTGTAGACTATCATCAAAACCAGTGGACATTGCTCTTTACCTCTGGATGCATGTTCCTGCCACCTCACACAGTGTTGGTCAGCTTACTGATCTGAGAGAACACTGAACCACCAAATCACAACAGTATTTCTGTTAAAACAGTGAGTGTGACTGCTGAATGAAACCTCCCTTTGGTACACACAGACCTCGCCTGATTTAAACTAAGTATAAAAGAAACTGCATTCTTGGCAAAAAAAACCAAACATATGTAGGAAGAGTCTAAAGTAAATATAAAGCAGTTTCTAAATCTGCACTGATGTATTAGGCATGCATGAAATAAGCACTATGGAAAAATCATTAAGTTTGAGCTGGATATTTTATTTAGAAAATTATGTTAATCCTTTAGCAACTTTTTTTCTTAGCACATCTCTGTTTGCAAATATCAGATCTGGAGATATATTAAATATCTATGGAATTACTATTCTGTTTTTATGAAAAGTTTACAAACAATTTACTGGTACTGAAACTCTAATAGTGGTAAAATCAACATAATCTTTTTCAGTCTCACTCTGGAGCAGCCAGGGAAATATTTACTCTTTACCTTTCTGAAACAGCCTCCCAAACACATCTGATTGGCCAAATATTATCGAGAACCTTAGGAATTTGTTCATTAATTTTAAAAAGTCAGACTTCTCCACAATGAAGATGCAAGCTGTATCTGCTCCCAAGAAAGAAGATTCCCCACTCCAGCAGCAGATAGAATGCCTTGTTATAGTGAGGTTACACAAAGACTGCTGCCTTTTAAGAACCAAACCCTTTCTTCCTGCAGCACCTACACATTTCAGACTTTACCCCACCTAAATCTATTCAGCTTACAAAACAAATACCGCAGCACTGCAAAAGACTACTGGTTGAAGCAATTCTTTGTTGTGAATCAATTGGATTACTCTTAATAGTGTCTCAAAACCAAACCCACCCATTCAAGATAATGTGCATGAGCTCACGTCCCCACGCTAACTTCACTGTGCTACATATATCAGGATTTTTGGCAGTCTGAAACTGTTGCTGGGATTGGTTGATTTTACACTAATAAAACTATCACCCAATCACCTCAGAGTCAGACTGGACCTCTTCTGCAGCTGGGTGAGATTCATCAAGTGTTGTGGATTCACTGCTGTGTTCTGACATACCTGAAAACAAAATAGGTTTGGCATGCATTAATTGATGTGAAAGGAGCTGGACGTTGCACCTTACAGAAACCAAAGCAGGCTTTCAGAAAACATTTATTTACAAGTTCTGCTAAAGCAAAGAGGAACCTCCCTCTTTTGATGATGACTGGGTCTTTAGCTCCCCATAATCTAACCAAGACTAGCAATATAGTCTAGCATAAACTCCCACTGCCAAAGTAAACCTCCCTGCACAGATGGCTAAACTTGCAACATAAAACCCCGAAAGTCAAACAAGACTCTTCATCCGGTATTTACTGTCACCTGCAACAATACACTGACTGTATCCTACCACTACAAAGATCATAATTTTGTTAAGACATGAGATTTATCCAAATGTTGCAAGCTTATATTGATGCTAAGCCACTGGAATCTGGTAAACTGTTCACTGTTAGCCTAACCAGAAACAGAATCCCTTTCATTTCATTCTAAAAAAAACCTCACTTACAGAGGCAAAGGAAGTTCATAACCCACGTGCAAGAAATCGGCTTTGTGAGGAGAATGATCATGAAAGGTAAGTTATGTACCTCATACAGCTTAAATAAGAAAAGTATCCAAATTTGATTTCAAATAGCTGGTAACTACAGCTGACACTGCAACTCACTCAGCTGTTTGAGGGGAGGAGACAGCCAATCGTTAAAAATTAAACCAAGTCTGTCAGTATTGAGTATAATCACACATGACTTCATTAAGTCTTGCACCATTTTATACATGTTCAGCCACATACCCGATTAAGAAAAATTATGCAGAGATCACTATTTATTTTGCATTTCAATTTCCCAAGCTATAAAACATCTTAATTACAGCAAATAATTAATAAGGTAAACAGCTCACATGACAAGGGAAGTAAAATAAGGACACAGAGGCAGAGAAACTGAACCATCTAGATTATATTACACTGGATAACCTATTACTTTATCTTATTTTACATGTTTGGTTTTCCAAAGTATTTTCTCCAGAAAAGCAATTCATTCAGGGCTATCACTGAATGAAGCTGGATTTTTCTGCAGCCAACAAAAAATTGCTTTCAAAGTAATTAAGTATAACTTCTTTATTTATCTAACTTAATTTCCTGTAATTCTTTTGAATGTGAAAGACTGTACAGCAGAGAAGCTGCTTTCCCACACAGTCCTGTCCAAACTCTGCTTGTGGTTGAAAACAACCCTCATGCTTAACAGCTTATTTCCGAGTAGATAAAAAATGTCCATTATGGACTAGAAGAGTAAGTACAATTTCTTCGCTCTGCTGGTTAAACTAGAAGGTAAATTCATCTTGTCTGGGTTAAGACAATCTCTACCTCAGTTTTACACATTAGTGATCCTGGAGTTATGTTTGTCCCTTACATACAAACTTATACCATGGTGATGCTGTTGAAAACTATTAAATGCTGTAAGCAGCAAAAATATTTTCTTGATAGCCTTAAGAACTCTTAAAAACCTAATCTAGAGGCACGAACCATCTCACAAACTCTTGTAGAAGACCCTGAGTAAAGACAAATAATTAATGTTTTAAAATCCAAATTAATTCAGCATTTGTGCTACAACCTCCCCCCCACTCCCCAATTTTTTGCATAGTATTCTTTTCCTGCAAGCAGTATCAACACTTTCAACAGAGCTCTGCAGGATCACACTGACCAACTTTCAAACGTGAGAAGGGGAAAACTAGATCAAAGGTGGCTTTTGTAAAAAGTTTAACTCTACCTTCTAGTTTAGCTACAGAATTCCCTGATGACTGCTTCTACAGCAAAAAACACAGACGTAAACATCAAATGCTGGATGTAAGGATGAAAACCTTCTACATATTTATAAAGATTCATAAGTTAAGACATTCATGTGAAATTGTGGCAAACATGGCATCTACATACATATAATACTTATATTTAAGGTTCCATTACGGCAATGCACTAGACTTTGGTACCTCAGTAGTTCCTGACTTTCTCTTGGAGGTGTCAGAGAAAGGGCTGTTCTTTTAAAGAGCTTGCTAATCTTCAGCACAGTATGAATTCTGTTATCAATTATTTTTTCACTAAAGCAGCCACAACTTCAGAACATGCTAGGTGCCTGTTCAGTGGACCAGGACATTCGTTACCATCAGCTGCAATTAGAACGCTTGGACAAACAATGCCTGATCCACATTCTGACATGAATTTAAGCCCCAAACCCTGACGTCATCACTCCTGCCCCTCTGGATTTTAATTTAAACAACGTATTAAGCTCCCTCTAGGATTAAGACTTTAGAGACATTTAACCAATTATAATTAGTGGTTATAAGAGCACACCTATGGACTTTCATAAAAAAGGCAAATTCATATTTGCTTATTCATGCAAATATGAATTAAACGTCATCAACAATAAATTCATTTTGATAAGTGGTTTATTCTTAGCATAGCTACATTGCTTATGTAAATGACCTATGGTCTCAGAAACGAGAACCATGGGATTCTCAACAATTACATCTGCAATAGAAGTTTTTGTAACACTGCAGAAAATGCAAATGCTGGTGGAAAATGACTTACTGCATATTTTCTTCATTTCAATTTCTAACTAAGAACACTATCACTAATTCTTGTCAAGATCAAGATAAACTGCTTTTAAAAAAGAATTTAAAGAACTGTATTAAACACTTTCTGCTGCAATCACACCATAGTTTCCTCTTTACGCTCCTGAATTTCCTGGCAGCTCCGCTTGCAAGATCTGATTACACTTGAGAGTTACAAGACATGATGGAGATAAGGACTGGAGAACAGGGCTGCCACTAACTTCCACACTCCCTACTCTAGGTCAGCCTGCCCCTAAGCACTTTAACGCTCTGCTCATCTCCAGATTAGCTAAGGCATGGGCTCCCATTATGGTTTCTACTTCTGACAAAACCAAAAGAAGCAGCTGACCAAGATATTTCCTCAGCTTCCAATTTAACATTCTTCTGTATTACTTATTCCTCACATTTTAACTTTGTGTGTGTACATACATATATACATAAACATTTACATGATTCAGACAGCCGCTTGGTTTTGGAGTTGCACTGATCAAATGACATCCTTCTCCAGCCCTGCAAGAGCCCTTCTGTTATCTTTTCTAGAGAACTAACACTTCTATCACAAAGGCACTTACTGCAAGTGTTACCAGCTCCTCCAAGCATAAAAAGCACATGTTAGACACGGAAACTACATTTGATTCAGGGGATGCAAGATGGAAGGCTCTGAGGGGGTTTCAGTTAAAAAGGACAGATTAGAAACGCACTATAAGCAACACCAGAATTATTACTGATAGTTTGTAAGCAATAACAGATGCAACACCTGCTCCTCACCTAACACCACAGTGTCTCCATGTTTTCAAAACAGTAAGCCAGATGCAAAAAACCAAATTGGAACACTTAGAACAATAATTGCCAGGGTGTAGAATAAGTCCCAGGGGCATGAAATTCACGCAGTATCTAGTTTTCTTCCTCCACCACCAAGCAAGCTCCCTTTCTGTCTCATGAAACCCATCTTCCACCACGCTCAGGCTCTGCCCGCCCCCTCCAGGTGCCCCCAGCCCCAGGAGCGGGGACCCCGCCGGGAACCCCGCAGGCAGGTGAGTAAACAGGCAGACTCCCGGCCCCTACGGCACGGACACCCACCCACCAGCACCGGGGGGGCGGG